TAAGCTGCAAATCATCGACCCCTTTCTGTCTCACAGAACTGTCTCTTAACAGAAGAATGAAAGTCTTTCCTTCACAATGATTTTTAGCTTTTGACGCATCTTGTACTTTTCAAAAAAAGGTGAGGTATTAACGGCCGTGTTTGACAAAATATAAACTGAGCGAACATATTTGATGCGAAGAGTCAATCCTTTCAACAATGTTATGGACAATTTAGTGCATCGCTGTCCTCATATAAGACAAACGGTGCTTGAGATATTTTACAGCAACACGCTTGACTCGTTTGGGAGATGAAAGGTCAAATGATTTATTAATATTTAGCACAATATTTGTTTCCTGCAATACATTTTAAGTGGATGGGAAAAGATGTTTTTCTACTGATATGAAGCAACCAGTTACTCCAAAAGGAAAATGTTTTTGATGCACTGATACAAACAACGCTTTGCACAAACACTGTAATTTAAGGTTCATTTAGACTTTAGAAAAATGCAATATTCTTTCACCACCGCAAGGTAGACACGAGTCATCAAGTCATCACCTCTTTATTTCACGCTGAGATTGGCAGATCTAAATTAAGCTCATTAGAAACGTAAACACAGTTTGCAGTCGTCCTAATCAGCCGGGGGATTTGTCGTTGATTCGTGCAGCCGGTGACTTTTACTACCGAGGGGGTTCAGGGATTCCTTCACTTCGCCCTCCGCGTTGTGTGCTGAGTCGGGCTGTCCTGGGTTTTTTAATCTCAGCCTGGATGTGGGGGCCGGCCTTCCCTTCCAGGCCAAAGATGCACGTGGAATTTGAACCGATAAAGATGCCCTCTTCATCTCCTGAGATCTCATAAACATGGGTTTTCTTTCGCCTCATCCCACGCGTACTGGATGCGCTCATCTCGTTTGTCAGCTACTGTTGCTTCCTCCTGTTTCCACTCACACGTGCAGGGACGTGAACCTTCTGGCAAAGCAACGTCACCGACTACAGGAAACTGTTTGCTGTGCGTCGTTGTACTTTTCTCCTCGTTGAGGTCCGATAGATTTGAATCAGTTCAGTTTGAATTCCCAAAGGGAAGCACATCTGTTTAGCAGATTTGGTATTCTGTTGTTTTGTGTGTCGGCAAAACAACAGAAAAGGTCACAAGGCTCTTTGTAAAGGGCAACTAAGCTGTGAACACAGCACCCAGGTGTGGAAACACAGGTAGTGTTAATATTTCCTGCTGAGTTAGACAGTTTGCTCTGGAGGAGAAGACCATCTGGAAGTCCCTTCTACTGAAAGATATTCCACTTATTTAAGTCCACATCACTTTGGTTCATTTACTGTACACACAACTCTGGGCATATGTAATATTTCTGAATCAACATTGTTCCAGTAGCACCGCTCTGTCATTTGCTTGAAAACAAAATGTGTGCCACATTAATCTTAATGATCCCGCTCTTCCCGTGCTGAATATTAAGTGTGTTTTGTGTATGCAAAGTTGCTGAGGCGAGCATTTCTTTTTAGTTGTTTTTCAGCGCTTCAATTTCACCAAGCACACAATGTTTTCTCCTCACTTGAAAGAAAAAAAGACTTTAGGCAACGATGTGCATAACTCTATTTGTTTAATGAAAGTGTGAAGCTTTCTTCCATGAGACGTTTTAACGCTTAGTGTGACATATTATCCAGGGAGCTGATGTTTTGAAGTCCTCACAAAGAGGAATATCTAAAATGTGCCCTTTTCTTGAGGGAGCTCTGTAGAGATGAGAAAAATGTTAATGTAGAGGCAGAAACCGAGGGTGGTGCCGTCTCTCTGCCACATTACAGGTCAATTCTCTACATGTGTCAAATCCCAGGAGAAAAAGCATCTTTAGACATTTTTTATTTTGACTTTGACTTGTTTGTTCACAGCGTAACCTCATAAAGGAACACGATCTGTCATATTCTTCTTTATACAGCAATAAAGTATGATATTAAGAAACCAGATTCCACATTACATTGACTGCATAGGCATTGAACTAATTCAAACATTCACTTCCCTTAAGCACATAAAACAGGGATCACCAAACAGAACCAAACCGTCTCCACGTTTCCAAATGTAAATGGAGTTCTATTTTTTAAGTTATTTCTCCATGAAACTGATCACAACAAGGTCTTTGGATTTACTGAGTTTCTGGCTCAATAATTCTGCAAATAGACAATGCTGTTGAGTTTGAAAAAAACAAACAATGTGCACTTTGAGCACCACTGTCCGTGTACTATAGAATGCCATTAAATTGAAGGTAAATTGATGGTTAGCACCTTTCGGGTCAACTGTCCCTATAGGCAGTATGTATACAAGATGTAACAGTTGAAAATGTAACCTATACACGAGCTGAGGTCACGCTAAGCATTACCGCGATGTTATTGAGGGAGCGCGGTGCTGAAAGCTATTTGTCCCCCACGCATTGGAACGGGAGAATAAGGATGGCGCCGTGTTTTCACATTCCGACGTCGGCGTTCTAATCGCCGGTCAGACTTTGCGTTGAAGTGTAAGTGCTGCACCGCTGGTTGAGCTCGGAGCGATCGGTTGGCCTGTTTGTGCTTCACAAAGACCACAACAATGAATTATCTGTGCGTGTGACCCCCGGCGCGAGGCCCAGCTCCTCAATGCAGCCGTTTAACTGTCGGTTGCTGCGGCAACGGTGGGGTTCGGGTGACAGCGGCGCCGAAGGGCGCGATCGCTGACAGGACGACTTCAAGACGGGCCGCGCGTTTTCCCACTGGGCGCTAAACACTTTCTCTCTTTCCCCAGCACGGAGGAAGCTGCACTACGCAACAGCTTGCAACAGCGAGGGCGGCTCCACGCCGCTGAAATGGACTCTGCCTTTTACATGCAGTTGGACGTCCTCTGACAGCCGTCATTATGTCGTTGAATGCAACCGCGAAGGCCTTTCTAATGCAACGTGAGGACACAAATGATCGCTTCCTTGCTGATGAATATATACTTTATTCTGGAAGCGTTACGAGTCCCCGTCTTTGCTTTGGTGTCGTTTGACCATCGGTGGAATGGCAATAAGTGCTCATCCCAGCTTTTTGTTTTTAATCAAATTCAAAGAAAGCCGTTGAAGTACAAAGCAGCGAAACCCACGATGGAAGAAGCAAATCAAACCAAGCAAACCTTCGTTCACAAGTTCACTCTTTAAACACTAAGTTCGATGAGTGAAGAAGCAACGTTGTTAAAACATTTACGAGAGAGAAAAGAACTGAAGTGGGAAATTTTCTTCTCAAGAGAACTCATTCTGTTTTCAGTAATGATCCCACCTTTCAGCGAGGATTGATCTGGAGCCCTATTTAAGTCTCTAAATGCAGCCGAGTGAGGGACAAAAAGCCACACTCTGAAATCAGAATAGACGATTAATGGTTGCCAACGACGTCAATCGGAGATTCACCGGAATTCCATGTATTGTTGGGCGGAAAATACAGAGCTGCTCTACAGGCCAAACGCAATGAGAAATGTTTGTTGCTGTCCACTTTCACACCTTCCCAGCTCCCTCCACAAATGTCACCGACACACGAAATCCTCAGAGCCAACAACTCCCTCCCAGCTGTTAGGCTGGTTGTGACTTCTTATCTCCCGCCGATACCTTGGTTGCACCAGGGAGGCCTTGTGACATGTGTCCGTCAGGAGCACAGCGATATGGGTCGAGTCTGGGCCCAAAGAGCATTTGTTGTTGTACTGCAATAACACCCAGTGAGATGCCGTTGGATGTCACCCCTCAAGCTTCAAGGCTTCAATGAATGATTTCGATGTCATTTGGAAATATACGCTTTGTAGTCGGTGGACAAGGGAAACCCGACTCATCCAATCCCCCCATGTTTAAGCACACTTCATAACACTTCAGGACACTTCCAACTCTTTTTAGAATTCAATATCTAGATTAGCTTACGTGTTTAGTGGATGATTGTTTATTCATTTGTTCCAAACAGGGACATTGTGGACTAAAATGTGAGGTGATCATCACTTCACACTGTGCTGTTTTTACATAAAATATATCTGAATATATCTGAGTGATATGCTCTCCCTCTTCCATTGATCACATGAACAAGATGTGATCCACACATCCACACATCCAACAGTCAGTATCGATTTGTGCAGCTAGAAGAATCTAAACCTCAAGACTTTTTAAGTTTAGGGAAGAAGATGAAAATGTTTCTCGCACAATTCTCCCACGGCAACATTTTTCTAGATGGGACTTGTTGTTCCTCAATACACAGCAAAATTAAAAAAGTTAATTTTCCAGTGCTAGGCAAACGTGTTGAAGTGCAGAGTTGAAATCACACGGCAAAAAGTTGATTCAACTCTTACAGAGTCAATTGTACGAAAGAGCTGGAGTCATTATCCAGTGTCAAGATCGGGTTCATTTGCGACACTTGGTCGAGGTAAATGAACTATTTGATAGGTTTGAAATGTAACTGTACAGATTCACAGCTCTTGGTGTTTGTTTTCTCTCTACGTACTGTGGCGCGTGGAGTAGAGCGGGCGAGCTGGGAACCGCAAGGTTGGCGGTTTGAATCCTGGCTGCTACATGTCCCACGTCAAAGTGTCCCTGAGCAAGACACCTAAGCCCTAATTGACATGTAATGTATTTAACACTGGGCAGATTTTTGACACTTATTCTGAGTTGACTTGTTAACACTTCGTTGAGTGTTGATTTAACACTGACAAGATTGGGACAATATAAACACCAGCTTAGAGTTCAAATTGAATCTCACAGAGTCAATTTAACTGTCTGAAGTTTGCCGTGTAGGACCAATGGTGCTGAAATCCAGGGTCCCACAGGACCCACAGATAGAGGGTCTGAAGGACACATAGATATACTTCTACCCTTCTAACTTTCCAGCGTGTTTTGCATAATCCAACAAAGCCCCGCGAACGGAGAACATGTCTTGATTTGAACTTGGTGAGAGGGGATGCTGAGGCGCGTGTGTGTGTGCGTGTGCGCAGAGCCAGCGCCGTGGACGAGCGGCGGAGCGGGAGCGCGCGTATAAGAAGGAAGCGAGGGAAGGAGCCGAGGCAGATTCAGTCGCCAGCGGAGCCCGAGACGGATGAGCGGTGCCGAAGGTCTGTGTCCCTCGCGTCGTTTTCCCCAGCAGCAGAAAGCAGCGTCCAGCGGCCCGAAGGCCCCCCCCCCCCTCCAACCACCCCCGACATGATGCTCACCCTCGTCCATCTCCTCGGGCTGCTCGTCTGCGGTTGTCAAGGTAAGAAGCGAGCGCGTGGGAGAAGAAAAAGCCCTCGAGCTCCGAGACTTTGTGGACAAGTTGGGTGCATTTCCGTCGTGGTTCTGCAGCAGGCGGAAAGGACTGAGGGGGGGGGGGAGCTGGCTTGTATAGCTGGATGTTGTTTTGTAGTTGAAGCACGTCTTGCGGGGGCCACAACGCTGCTAAGAAAAGGGGCACTAGGATGGGTCCTTATTCTTTGCAGCGGGTGAGCTGCTGTGACAAACACCCCGCGGACGAAAAATAGTCCTCTTCGCCATTCGCTGTTTATTTATTGGTCTTTCATTTGCGAGCAGCGGCTTAATTCGTAGTCTTAACTTCCGCTGGCATCGTGAACATATTGTCAGTCATTTGGTTTGGGCCCCTTTCCCGCTGTCTCCCCCTCTCGAGTCCACTTCTATGTGATAATAATAATAATAATAATAATAATAATGACGCTGTATTCTCACGGCGAGCCACTGGCTCGCAAAGTTTGGGAGTAAGACCCGCGTCGGGGACAGATGCTGCGCCGTTAGTCGTGGCGCACCTGATCCTGATTGTCTCGGCGCGCGCGGCTGTGTGCGTGCGGGACGCACCCGCCGAGGGAAACGACGATGGTTAACTGAGTGAATGCTGATAAAAAAAAACAGTTTGAAACGGGCGCACACGCTGTCCCCTCTGGCCTGCTCAGTGTCGTGCGCGTCTCCTTCCTGCGTCCTGGCGAGGCGCGCCCCCGTGTCCCCGCGGGCACTCTCCCGTGGCTTCAGTCTGACCAGTGGTCCTTTCCTCGGGGCGTAAAGGGTGCGCATGACGCTGTGCACTTTGAAGCTGTGTGTGTGTTGCAGCAACTTCATTTGAATTGCGGATCGCCCCCCCGCGAGATTTTCCACTTGTTAAAAGAAAACAAAAGGTGTGAAGAGCGGGCACACAGAGAGGGGAGTTCTGGGATGGACATCGGATGGTGGCGTGGCCACACTGGGTTCCTGGCGCACAACGGCAGGTGGGGGTAGAGCGCTGCAAAGTGGTGCCAAGAGTGAAGCCACGAGCCGCAGGTCCTCGGGCTCTCCTCTCACTCGGCGCAAGCCTTTCGAATACCGGTTCCCTCTGACTCTCAAAATGTAATCATTTGAAGCAATACAAAGGGAAGTGTCACATCATCAGCATCCAGTGGCTGGACGCGCCACTTCTTCTTTGACGCAGCATTCTGGGATCTAACGGTATTAAAACGCGGTTTGTTTGTTTTGGTAGTATGAATAAATTAGGATGCTTTGCGGCAGAGTTGGATTCTCTTTTATATTTTGAAAGGACTTTCGTCAGTTTGTGTTTCCACCGGTTCAATCAACAAGAGTGCTTGTAACCACTGTTATGATCCAGTGGAAGATGAAAAAAAGCATCAGTGACACTGTTTGACAAAACCTATTCTCTCTGTATCCCTAACTGAATAGTCGTTGCTTTGTTACTTTCCTTCAGTTGCGATAGTATTGCATCACCCTACCAACCACTTTACATTTGAATCTTGCTTTTTATTATAGCAAAGTCCACACAAATTGAGCCATCAGACAATGTAATACTGTAATGTGAATAATGAGGCGAGTTCTGAGATCAAGGGTACGTGATCAGAGTTAAATTCCAACCAGTAAGAGGTTTTGGTTTGGCTCTCCATCGTGCTTTTGAAGTCCCAGCTCACCGTGTACCCTGCGTTCAGTATGCATCCTCGTAGGTTTATGTATTTGGCTTTTACGGACACTTGGTACAATGAATTATATGCTTGCTCGGTCTCACCTGGGACATGGCAATGTGACGTTAAGTGGCGTAATTAAGACATTTTGCTGTATCTCTGGGGAGAGATGTCAGTGGTTCAGGGTTTAAAGGATTTATGCTGCTGGGCTGAAGTGTCTCTCATTGCACTCTCAGCCTGGGCTCAAGTGCACGTTGGAGGTTTACTTACATCGTGCCCTTCTGGTTTGTGTACACGCTTACACGCACTTACCGAAACATGCACACTGCACACCGCCTTGATCCAGAAATTCACACTAGTAGTTGCAGGAAGCATTTTTTGTGCGTGCAAAAGTTAGTCCCTGCTATCTGACAGGTCTCATTGCCGATATTCTGACAATGTAACAATGTTGCACAGAATCCTCAACGCTGTGCATCAAACTCCTATTAAAGACATGCAAAGCTGTTCACAAAAGGAATGGCCTGTGTCCTGGTCCTTCAAGGTGAACTGATGGCGTTGTTTGATTAATAGACTAGGACGGAGGACCTACACATGGAGAGCCTGTGCATGTGTGAAAATGTAATCGCCCCTCAAGGCAGCAGCACATGAGAAATCAATTTAAGGAACGACTGGAGTCAGCAGGCCTCTGAATTGTACAAAGGGCAATCTCAGTGTTCTAGATATGCCATTTATTTGCCTGCAAGGTTTTGATTTCTCATCTGTGCCCTTTAGCGCTCAGTCCACCGAGTTCGGGCCTCAGCATTGCATTTGTACAATGCGTATGATGGAGGAGGAGAGAGTCCTATTCTCAACCGTTGGATCTTTGAGAGAAGCACTGCCAAGCATCACGGCTGCAGGGGTGTTAGAATGTTACAATAGAATGGGAGAGCAGACCAAAAGGAGATGAGCAGTTGTTGTTTAGATAAAAATAACATCTGCCTGCATATGTTCCAGTCTTCAGTCTCAAGGACGGTATACCTATTTAACTAGTAGACTCTGTGCAGTCAGGGGGGGGGGGGGTAGTAGTCCACCCCTCCCCCCTGTTATAATGGTAGAGGAAACCGTGCTGTGAAAATAACCCAGTGAAACTCAAATTGACCACATGCACCCAAAATACCATCCATAATCTTTCTCGCTTGCGGGCCCATTGTCTCTTAATCCATCCATGGACAAAAGTACTTCATTGGGAGGTTTTGAGGTCAACCTCGGTGCAGTACCCTGTAATAAATGTACTGCCTTGCTCACGGGTAGCTTGCAAAGCTGTGTATACAAGCTGTGCAGTGATTGCCTCACAGCTCACTTAACAGGATTAGAGTCAGGGATTAAGATAACTGTGCTGAGCATATATTCATACCTATAAAATGTACGGCCTCATAATGACACATTTGTGATGTTTAAGTAACTCTGGCAATAGCACAGGGCTGAGAGGAGAGACAACATACCCAACAAATCGCTCCGCTTGGCGTTTGGTTTTGAAAAAGTGTCAGTTATTTGCGATTGATGGATAAAAAAGGACGGCATGTTGAATAATCCCCTCTACTCAAGCAATTTTCACTCTAAAGTTCTCCACGGGGAGTCTCTCCCAACCACGAGCTAAGGAAATGTTAATACAGTAGGCAGTCAGGGTCTTCTTTTAGGACGAGTCTGGTGTCTCATGTTCCCAGAATCCCAGAAAGGCAAAATTGGGAAGAAGAGCGCGAGTAGGGAGAGGATTTATTCAGAGAGGGGATGAGATTATATTTAAAAGTGCATTCGATTCAAGTGAATCTGATTCTATCTACTTAGATTGCATTGCTGCAGATTGAATCGAACTCTTATGGAGTCGCACTGTGCCAAAATTAATAAAATGTAATTGAATCCTTTTCGAGATGCAATCAAACTAGGCCTGCTTGCCGCGATTGGAGGGGACAGCTGCTGCATGTTGCCGTGTGCTCCTGTGGGTTTGTCTGCGGGTTTTTACATCCGTTTGGTGCTCGCCAAGCCGGAGACCCGTTGGCTGCCGCGAATGCCAGTCTAAATGCCAGTCTGAATGCCAGTCTCACTAGCAGGCTAATCAGCAGAGCCGGGATGCCAGGGTGGCAACAGCGTCAGCGGGCACACTGGCTGGCTGACGCATACGAAGGTCTTCCTCGCTCACTGTCACAGTGCGAGCCTCCGTCCTCTCTCGGGACACGGCGCTGCTGGTCCGGGGCTTACTTTTGGGTTTCAGGCACCGGCAGGCGTGATTAAATGAAGATCGGGGATCAGAGAAATGCCAGGAGGCCCCGAGGACAACTCCACTCTGGGCTGGGTCCGCTTCGAGTGACCCACTTAGACCGCATTAATCACTCCGGACGCAGCCTCCTTGAGCTCCCCTCCCTCCACGATAGGGCCCAGGAGCTGAAAGAAGCTTCGGGCTGACCGAGGTTACTGATGTAAAGATGTAGAAGTTATGCAGACAAAGTTTTCTTTGACATCATACAGAGAACAACAGGAGCGTGAATATCGGTGTTTGTGTTAAGGATGGTTGTGAGAAGGGTGTCATCAGATGTGTGCTGGTTTAATTGGAGGTTTTGTTGGTAAACTTTCTTGAACAGGATTTTTCCGCTATATTTTCACTGTGATTAACACTGGCAGCATGAATGTAATGGCATGCTGGGAGGAAATAACACTTTCCAATGTGCCATTGTTCTGTTATGATGTGGGCTGTTAGTGGATTGACTCGAGATCACTTGCTTTAACTTCCTAATATACTGTATACATTCGTTTACTTATCATTGTTTACTAAAAGCACATCGCTTAGACAAGCACTGCAGTTATTTTTGGGAAGGTCTTTCACAGGTACACAATTCAATCCAATGTGTTAAAGATGGCACACAGTCTGTGTTCCATGTTCCTTTCTTGCACGTAGGGACAACTTTGTGTCTGTGTTCATTATCTTGGCAAGCCTTGTTGACACATTTTCAGATAAAACATGTACCTATTATTATTATTATTATTATTATTATTATTATGTTAAAACATTTATTTAGAATTCAAAATATGAAGGGGAATATATGCCATTTCTACTAAGTAGCTTTAAATATGCATTACACATTAGAAGTACATGTGTTTTGTGGATATTGGCTTGTCGGTAAGTTTCAATATTCCATTTATTGTCTCACTGCGCTTATACAGCCATTATGCAAATGCTCTAATTCTCCTGCCGGAGGAGAGTACCAACGTTCATTGGCGATGCTCCAAAAAGATGCTTTTGAAAGGAACCTATAAGCTCTTTGGATTTGTAAATGTGACTTTATCATTATGG